AAGGGGTGGAAGGTCTGGCTAGACTTGAGCCCTGTGGTAAAGAAGGGTCTTTCGGGCTCTTGGCGCACGCTGGAGGACGGGATGAAAGTTCTTGCGTTGTGAACCTCAAGAATATTAACATTTCCTTCGTCCCTATATAGATTTACTGTAACATACCCAGAAGCGCTACGTTAAGGCCCCCGTGATAGGGTGGGATGAGGGCTTCTTAGGCGCTAGGTTGGTGCAGCAATCATCGAAGTCTGAACGATCGTCCCTGGCAGGTGCTATGGGCGCTCGCGGCTGTGGCATCTTGAAAGCAAAACACCACGTACCTCCCTCCCTCGTTATTATTATAGTACTGGCACGATTGTCATGACTACTGCTCTTTATCATTACTGTCACACCAGAAGTTTGGGCAAGTCGAGCTTGACATCAAGCTGCACTCTAGGTAGGGGTAACATGGCCGTTTTAAACGCTAAACCGCCACACCAAATCCGAGAGCGTGCCGGTCATCGTCGAAGGGCCACACAATCACCCCCGAATGCCAGGACATGCCTCAGGTTCGCCCAATTTCAAGCTTCAGACACTCGAAATCCTGAAATCTGGGGTTGCCTGATGTGCCACGTCTGACCTATGAAAGTGTGGAGTCCAAGGTCTTCCAGCGCAATGATGCTGCATAGCACATGAACACGTCGCCGACCCTTCAGCAAGTCTTGAACATGTCAGTATGTACCAGCTGCGCATAAATGTCTAGCACCTATAGATATATATATATATGTATGAATGTCAATGTATATGCACGTACCACACGGGTAGATACTGTCATAACTTATTGGGTCTTTATTACGGGGCCAGTATTCAAGAAGCGCGGTAGTATCCGCAAACCACGACTCACCCTCATTGCGAGCACCTACAGCACCAACACCTCTACCACCCACCGCACCTTGATAAGCCCCTTGTCACGGTTGATTACTTCTTGTACAAGTATTGACGCTTTTACTGCTATGATTGCCGTTAGTGTTAGAATTTCACCTATAGCGACGATTGCTGGCAGCACTAGTGTTGCTGTTATTTCTGCGGCTGGTTTCCAAGACCTAACACCCCAAATCCGGTAAGTGCCGAGGTGAACTCCGTTTTCTCCTTCCTCTGGGATTTGGTCATGGATTGGGGCCTTCTCCACCTGACGCCACTTGGGTGTTCCTCTTATTGGCTGTAACCTCAACTTTTCAACTTGTTTGGTTCAGTACTCGATTCTGAAAGTTTCAACGTTCATTTCCTTGGGTTTTGGGCCAGTGAGTCCTAAAGGTCAGAGGCCATCCCGGCTCTGATAGTCGCATGGGGAGGGTAGGAAGGGCGGGGGGGGGTTTGGGGGGTTTTGGGGGGTTTAGGGTTTAGGGAAGGGCGGAGTCTATCTCGGATCCTACTCATCGGGCTCCACAGGTGAAGTCCCTTCTTTACTCAAACGTTGTTATAGTTGGTTAACACTTTAGATTTTATGGCTACTGAAACCCAACAGGGAATAAAAAGAACGCAGATTTTCATACTATCCCCAACATGAACGATCAAGGTGGCCAGTGGGGAAAGGCTTTGGGGCTTCTGGAGCTTTCGGGTCATGGAACTCTTGCTTTTAGCTTCAGAGTTTAGGTTAGAGGCTAGAGGGTTTTTAGCCCTTAAAAACCCTAAACCCGTTAGAGGGTAGCGGTAAAGAGCTTTAAACTTGAGAACCAGGAAAACCCTAAACCCCAAAGCCCTGTACAAACACAGGATTTAGGGTTTAGGGCAGACTTTGAAAGGGGAGTCTCTCCTCTCGACGAGGGCACTTGTCCCACGAAACTCGAAGCCGGGCATGTGTACGGAGCCCTAAACCCTAAACCGCTGTTTGGGTTTAGGGCTTATCTGTTTGAGCTCATGAGGCCCAAAGCCTCAAGCCTTTGTGCTTGTCTAAATGCTTCTTTGGCCGTAGAACCTTAAGGGTTGCCCAAGGGGTTGTTGAGTGGCTATTACGTCAAGAGGCAGCACAACCCCAAGCAGCGGTGTGATACCAACATCCGCGAATGAAGGGTTATACTATACCAGCAGTCTTGATTTTGTTAGTGTAATTCCGAGGGATTTCGTGGGAGCTGTTGATTTGAGGAATACGCTTCCTTGTAGTAACATAATGTACTAAAGTACGATAGACTACAAAATGTCATAACGGATTATACTCTACTGTGATATTCAATATTGTTCCACATGTTTCATAATGAGTCATAGTCTATTGTGATATTCAATGATGTACCATGGCATTTGAAAACTGTTGTCCCCCTTTTAAGGCCTGGAAAGCCGGCTCACTTCGGACTGCGCCCCGTGCTTTTGCTTCTTGCACTTCGGTTTGGTCTACTTAGGATATGCCCTGAGGCTCCATATACCAATATATTGTTCCTCTAAGGGTTCCCCTAAGGGTTCCTTGCAGGGTTCTACAAGGTTTTACGGCTTAATCTATGTACCAATAGAGACTTCGGCCTTAAGGGGTTCCTTCAAGGCCTAAGTACATACCCTACGGGTACATGGGAAGGACTTAGGGTTTAGGGTTGAAGTGTTTGGGATGTAGGCTTTTAGGGTGTTGACTTAAAGTGGACCCTGGCGATTAACGCCCTAAAGGCCCTTAAAGACATGTTGCCTGCTTTCGCCAGATCTCTATGGTATTGTTCTTGGGATCGAGCTTCAGGATGATACACATTGTTGGTTTGTGCTTTCTTTCTTTCGGCCGTTGGGAGTTGCAGTACTTTGAGTTTTTGATTTCGGATTTAAGTTTTTTGGCTTCCGGGTGGGAAAAAGGTGCGAACCAAGGCGTGCAGGCTCAGGCAACCGAGGAATCCACACCCTTCTGCTTTTACTGAAACCCTAAACCCTAAAGCCCTAAACGTAATACTCAAAAACGTGCAAACAAACCACAGAAACTGCGTCACTCGTTGGGGTACCTGTCCTTACTAAACCATACAAGCCTTGAACCACCCTTCTACATCAAACTGTAAAGCTGTGAAGAATAGGGGGCCCACATGCGCCGATGCACACAGTGTCACGCCACGCACCCAACCGTGCTCACCATCCACTCCGATGCTCCATCTGCCCTGTAACTAAGGGGGTCCCCAGGGACACGATGCACATGGGGTCAGGGCTCCTGGTTTCTTCGGTGTTTTTCTTCGGTTATTTCGGTGAAACCCTGTCTGCCATGGACCTCGTTGTGTCAAACCAAGTGCTGGATGCCTCTGACTCAGCTGTGGTATGCAAACAAAATACTGTGGGAAACATGCCGAGCCAGGGCTTTCACAGAACAGGCTATACAATGGAGGCTGTACTCCGGGCTGATCTCAACCACCTGAAGATCGCATTTACTGTGTTTGGGGACTGTACCTCATGCTCGCCTCAGCTATCCGATGCCTGCATACCTGCGCCTTTGCTTCATGGCAATGTTGCGAGGCTACAGTACACTGGGGCGTGACACACGAACAACGGCTGAGCTTCCATGCACTCCGGACTGAAACACGGAGGCTGTACTCCGGGCTATTAGCCATTGGCTACTGGCGAAATGGAGCAGGCTCCCTTACGTGGCAACAACCCGGAGGCTGCACTCCGATGGTACAGAAGTGCCGGGCTGCGCGAAGGCTTTTCTGCTGAGTTGGAGGAGGCCATGGAGCCACCAGGACTTTCTTGCATGACGGAGGAGGCTGCACTCCACTGACACAGAAAGCATTGCTCGCGTAAGTCAGCCTGACTCTTGGAGGTGTGTGAGATGGGAAATGCTACGGAATGCACGCAAGACTGTTGGCAGACCCTGTGAGTTGCGGAGTTGGAACTGTGCCGAGTGGGCAAGCTGCCGGTACAGAGACCACGACAGAACTGTTGTTGCGAGTTGAAGTAGGACAAAACATGCGTACAAAGTGATCGAGACATGTATGTGACTGCTGAGCCTGTACAGCGAGCCGTTCATTTGGCTGAAGAAACATTAACAGCAGCTTTCCTTGAAGGATTGTGAAATTCGTCCATTGGAGACAGTTTTATGCATGGCACCTGTCCACCAAATGCCAGACCTCGCGAGCGGACATTGCCATCCAGCCATGCGAGAGGGAAAAAAGCCCTAAACCCTAAACCCGAACCCCTTAAAGGAGCCCTTCCAGGCCCTTACCTGTAGTCCCTACTGTTGATGATATAAATCCTGCATGACCCATACATAATCAGGAATTCTCCATACTTCCCATAGTTGGCGGTCCTTCACGTAATGAATGCAGTGTGTATATATATATATGCATATATATATATATATATCATCATCATCAGCATCATCATCAACTGTAGGGGTTGTAGACTGTGCATCCCTCAGAGGAGAGGGTTTTGGGTTGCGTAGCTAGGGTTGCGTGGAGTGGTGAGGTCAGGTTCAGGATTTGCAGGACAAGTGGGATCATCTAGTCGTCATAGTGCCAACTTCGGAAGTCTAAACTTTCCCAGGTCACTGGTGTATCGGCCCAGCTCGGTCTGTAAGTGAAATTTCGACATGGACCTGAAAGCCCGTTGAGCCACCCAGCTCTGACAAGCTCCAAGACTCATCGAACAGTTCGATGCAGAGCCGAAACACAGACCACATGGAATGCTCTGTCATCTCATTACAGGACAACCTTAGATCCCACAGCCCGGTTTCTGAACCTTCCAGTAAACCGCCCGTCCCACCCTCTTAAAGCTTAAGCGTTCCTGCTTGAAGGGGGCCCTCTTATCGAACCCTAGAGGACCCTGTAAGGGGACCCTTCTAGAGACTATAAAAACCTACGGTACCCTTTAAGGGGACCCTCTCGTATTATAGAGCCCAAAAGTAACTATAGCACCCCGTGAGGATTCCTCCTTCAAGGCTTCCTCCTTTCCCCTAAAACTCTAAACCCTCAACCAGAAACGAGCCCTTAAAAAAAGCAAAAAGTGGACTTAACGCCTGAAGCCATGCCTGTTTTGTGCGAGTGTGTGAGTCGAAACCCTCAACCCCTAATTAGTTTCAGGTTCCCTGGCCCTGCTCTTCTGTACTACTTTGCTGTGTTCCTGAACTTCATCGGCCGCACCTTGTGGCGCGGAGCTCAGGCCTTTGCGCTTCCAGGGGACTTAGGTTGACAGCTTAGGGTTAAGACTACGCTTTGAGGTGGATTGTTTGCTTTACGTCCTTAGATCTTGCAGGCTTTCTCAGGCTTCTTATAGTCCCCTGACGAAAGGCATCTTGCTACGGATGGATATCCTTGGGCTTGAGGGCGGAGGCGGAGGGTGTCCTTGATAGTGGTAACGGGTCTCCAGTCAGTCTCAAGGCCCAGTTTGCCCAAAAACTTGCGGCTAGTTCGTGGCTTCAGTGGTGCCTGAGGTGGGGGACGACGGGGTTTGCAGTGGTCACGGCTTGAGGCTTCAGGGCCGCGAGGTGCAGCTCATCGGAGTATGGGTGCGCGTTTGTTTTGGGTCCATTGTGAGGTTGCTAGCAGTGCAAGAACCGCAGATAATAAAGCCTCGAATTCCTGAACAAGGCCCGCAAAATCTCTGATTCTTGGAACCCGACCTAGACTGTCAACTCGAAGTTCTAATCCTTTGTCTGGACGCACGCCTCAAAAGGTCGTACGGTTGATGATATAAATCCTGCATTACCTTAAGGACCCTAAACTATGGGAATTATGGTATATTCCTTATTACGGGCCATGCAGGATTTATATCATCAACCGTAGCAGTTTCATCTACATGATCCTACAACTCTGTGGGCCTTCTGAATTTGGGGTTACAGGCATAAGCCCTAAACCCCTAAAGCCTAAACCCTAAGCTCCTAAACCCTTAAAACCTCAACTCTAAACCCGTAACCCTTAAAACCTAAACCCTAAGCCCCTAAACCCCTAAAACCCAGTAGCCTGATTCTCGCTGCTTGCTGCTCTGTTCTTTGAGGTCGCTGCGCTGGTCTGAGCAGGCCGGGGACCATTAGGTAGGGCTTTGGGACATTTTATGTGTTCCCTTATTGTGCGTAAGAGGATCTTATTTACTAGTTTTTCTGAAAAGCTTTACAAAGCCCCACCCCACCTACTTCACGGTTGTCGGGATTTAGGGTTCGAGCCCTTCAGGGGATGGTGTCTGTAGGCTTTGGGAGGTCCGGGCTTCTAGGTGTTGTGGTCGTTTGCCGCATATCGGATCTTTGGTGTGTTTTAGGGCTGTATCGTGGTTTATTCGGGCATTTTAATCTTCTGCTGTCCAAATTTCCAGGCCTTCTCGGGGGTTTTCGAAGAACCTGCCAGGATGTCGTTGCGCGCAAGGGCGGCATGGCTAAAGCCTAATTAGTCCATCGTGTCTCCGCTTTTTCTCGAGCAGACCAGGACTGCAACACCCGGAATGCCCGCTACCGCAGGTACATGGACGTTTGCGTTATTGTGTTCTTCTAGGGTTGGCGTTTAGGCTCTGGCGTGTGGGGTTTTGGCCACGAGCAGTGTTCCGATGCGTACTTCTAGGATTTAGGTACCCAGAGACTCCAATATCGCGTACGTAATTAAGGGTATATACCTTAAGTCATATTAGGGATCCCAGTATTGAGTAAGGGATATCGGAGTCTTTGGGTAGACACTAGGGCCGACTTCTCCATGGGTAAAGCACGATAGATGCTGCATTCGGACCGCCGCTGAGGGTAGCTGTCGGGTGTCGCTACAGAGGAGAATAGAGTGTTGAGCTTAAGCTTAAAACTTCTTTTGCGCCGCGACGGTTTGGGGCTCGGCAGGGCTACAATGGGCTAAAGCTTATTTTTGCGGCTTGCAAGTCTGATAGAGAGTACAAGGTTCCGGGCCGGCCATGCCCAGAGACTCCAATATCCCTGAATTAAGGAATATACCTTGAATTATAGTAGGATCCCTCATATGATTTTCGGTATATTCCTTAATTTTGGGATATTGGATTCTCTGGGTATACTATACAGGCTGCAGGACGACGCTTATAGATGTGTGCTTGGTGTGCAGGGCAAGCACCAGAGCCCATTTTACATACAACGTGACACTGAATCCAAAGCAGTCATCGAATCTAGAATCTAGGTCTTACCTTGAACCTTGAGATCCTAAGCCTTATTCGAAAGCCAAAAGCCTAAGCCCATCAACAACGAGGGTTCCGAATTCCCTCGCTATTGGTTTAGGATTTCGGGCTTAGGGCCAAAAGGGCGAAAGATTTACAGAATTTAGGGCGATGGCGGTGCCAAGCTGACGAGTTGAAGTGTGCAGAGCACGCCAGCAGCAGATCCTCCTTGGAACGGCCTGGTGCGAGGCATACCGAAAGATGCACGGTGTTGACTGGGATATCCTAGTCCTGGTTACATGGTGGTGCAGCGCTGTCAACCCGAAACATCCTGAACCCGATAAGCCCAGTCCTAAGCTCATAAAATCCATTTAACTTTCCTCAGCCGCTTCCTTAAATACCATACTTCCTCACCCGAAAACCCAAAGCCCTAAACTCTCATAACCTCCGTCGAAAACCACCGAAAACCTAAACCCCCGACCCCCTAAAGCTTTCAAAGCCCACGAAACCCCTTATAAACCCTAAACCGCTTAAACCCTGCTTTCGGACTCATTGCGAGGAGGAAAAGGGCCAAAAACAAAAAAAACAAAAACTTACAAACCCTAAAACCTAAACCGCCTTATATAAACCGAGCCTCGAGCCCAAAGCGCCGGCCGGGAGGCGACGGTGTTTCTAGGCGCCTTCTTCCTCTCGAGCGTGCAGCAGTCAGCAGAGGCTTTTCTTAGGGTTACTTAGAAAAAATTTTGAATTTTGGTGTTATTATTTTTGAATTTAAAACAATTCACTTAGAAATAATTTTTTAATTTTTGGTTATAATCCCTAAGAAACAGCTAAAATTATAATTTTTGCTAGGGTTCTAAGTTCTTTGGGGGGAGGGGGGGGGACGGGTTGAGGGTTTGAGGGTTCAGGATTTTCGGGTAGCGGGTTGTGGGTTTAGGATTTAGGATTCTGAGGTGTTTGGGTGACATTGGGTCTGGGGTTTTGGGTTTTGGTGGGCGCAGGGGGGGTGGGGGCCCGGTTCAGCTAGAGTCCTTCAAAGGATTCCTTTAATGGGTCTATCAGTGCACCGTAGGGTTCCGGGTTTGGGACAACCGAGACTTACGCTTGAAATTTCAGGGGCCGGGATCCTTATGACAATCATCCTGAGGGCTTAACTTCCATATGCATAGTTCTCTAAATTAGGCCCGTTGTAGCTTCCCAAAACAGTACGGCACCCTCAAAAACAGGACCCTAAAAGGGAACGACTGCGTATGATACCACAGGAGGATTGGAACAGCTTACCAAGCCAACACGAAGCGCTGAGCCCGATCCTACCTTGCGGGATTGACCGGTTAATGTAGGGGCCTTAATAATTAGAATAGGCTTTGGCGGGTATAAGGAACTCCACAAAACCCTATTGTAGTTATTAAGGCTTCTACAGCAGGTTATGGTGTTTGAGCTTAGAATCCTAAACCCTATACAGAGAAGATTAGCATGGCACCTGTGCAAGGATGACACGCACAACTCGAGAAGTGTACCAAGTTGTAAACCCCGAAAAACATAACCCCCAAACCCCAAAAGCCGAATCTGCACCTCCCTGCGCATTCGGCGAGCCGCAAGGTGATCCGCCGTTGCCTATGGAACGTTTTCAGAGTTGCTTGGCCCATGTCAGCAGTGTACCTTAGGGCTCCTTTAAGGGTTCCTTTAAACGTTCCTATAAGGGTTCCAGAACGGGTTTAGGGTTTAGGAGTTTCCACAAATCAGGGGTACCATATTTTGGGGTCCTTATAAAAAGGATCCTACTCTTTAGGCTACTACATTAGGGTCTCGTATTTTCGGAAACTCCCATGTCGGGAGCGTCAGAAAACAAGACAGCCACCGAATCCTCGGCACTTAGTCTTGTAGAGTAGCAGTTATTGACAGGCCCCTTCCCCCAAAGTTCCATGAGTCCTGCCAAGTGATGTCAAACTCTTTGAAGCCAAAATCCCAACCAAGAGAGGCAACGGGCAATAATAAGTTAGGGTTCGGGATTTAGTGTCTGAGTCTTGGAAGAAAGGTTTAGAGTGTAGGGCTTATGTAGATGGTGACACTAACCGGAGGAGTTGTATAGGCATGAGCCCAAATGGCAGTCGCGATTCAATGCCGCCTTGGCCGATGATAAGTTGCCAAATCTGCCACTGTTGTTGCCGTTCCGATCCCGACGGCCACTTTGGTATCATCTACAAGCTGTGTTTTTGTTTAGGGTTTAGGCAAAAAAGGGTTTAGGGTTTAGGACCACTTGTCCTGGATTGGACAGGGATCGCTCGGCATCCACTTTTGCACAGGCTGCAAGATATTTGCAGCTCCGTGCCACTCAAGTGGAGGCCGCCAAGTGGCCTTTGCACTCCCAGGTGGATAAGTTGCAGGCGGAGATCATCGTCACAAACGCGTGGCTCAGCGATGGGAGGGCGCAGGTTGACTGTTCCCAGAAGCAGAGCTTGCATATTGCAAAACACTCGGATTTCGAACCGCAGGTGACATGCCAAAACCCTCCGAAAGTTTAGGGTTTAGGGTGTTGAACATGCACAGCACAAGTTGAAGAGGGCCAGCTATACTGGAGGCATGAGCTGAGCTTGGAAGCTCCTTCTTTACTGTAGGGGCCTTAATGATTCGAATAGGGTTTTCGGGCCCATCATACTATACTTATCAGGGGTTCACTATTAGATTGCAATACGGACCCCCCCCAAAAGTATAGGTAATTATTTAAGCCCCTATAGTATTCTTGAGCATACCCGAGGCGAGAGCATTTCTTTCTGACAGTTGTGTATTCTAGAGACCTTAATAATTACCTATACGATTTGAGGGCTCCTTATTATTAGTACAGCAGAATGGCCCCAAATCATATTCCAATTAGTAACGCCCGCATATTACCTTCTGATGCCGTTGATGCGAGTGATCTTCTTGGACAACATGATATGCTGCTTCATAAGGCAAGCCAGCGAAGTTTAGAAGTGAGTGCTTAATGCATTGAGTACTCCAAAACCCGTAAACTCCCAGACTTGTAATGTAGGAGCCTGACTAAGAAACCCTGGCCCTATAGCCCCAACATAGTAGGCCTCATATTGAGAACCCTAATAAAGACCCAAGGTTTCTTGCGAACGGACTGCGATGCCTTGTCAAGTTCTAAGGTGTCACTATAAGAGCTGTGAGCATGACCGTGTAAAGTGCAAGAGAAGGGGGCACGCTACGCGTCCCTCGACTCTAAGGGGGCACGCTACGCGTCCCTCGTCTTTACCTTTCTATGTGACCGCCCACGCAACGTTTGGCTCAAGTCAATGCCCATAGCTAAGTGCTATAAGTGTCTTCTATCCTGAGCAATCAGAGCTATCCCGTTGCACAGACGAACCGCCGCCGGCAGTGAGTGCAAAAGGAACGGCCGCCGGTTCTGCCTGCATAGGATTGCACGTGTGGAAGTGTGAGAGAGACAGGGTCCAGTCTGTGGAGAGTGCAAGCCAGCCACACCTACATTCATTACAGCTCTGGTGGGGAGAGCAGCAACCTAGTCGAGATCAATCCCCCACGCAGGTTATCAGCCGTACGCGGCTCTGCCTTTCTACAGCAACGACTACTTGATCTACTACGACCACAATGAACTCGGGATCAAGCCAAGATACGACAATGACTTTCGGTGCCGATGTGGCAGCGCCAGCCGTTGGTGAGTCAACAGCTGATGACACAGTGGTGCAATCCGTTGATAGCTCCACGGAAGATGACAAAGGTCAATCTTCTGCGCTTGCCATTGCAAAGGCAGTTCCCAAGGTGAAAGCAAAGAGTCTACCAAGAGCATCTACGCCTTCGCGTCCGACATCCACAGGTTCGAGGACGGGCAAGGCTCCAGAACGACGAGCCGAAGCGTCTGGTTTTCAGGCACCTCGGACTACGTCCAGGGCCAAGGACAAAGGAGTGAAGACCTTGGAAAAGAAGTCAAGACCATCATCTTCGAGAAGCTCTTCAGCACGATCAAGGACTTCGGCTACTCGTGGGCGTGATAAGTCCATGACTTGGAATCGGATGGTTACCAATCAACCACGCGATGCTGACGATCTGGATATGACTCTGGACACTATTCCAGCACGTGGTGATGCGTCATCGGTGACCACGCCAGCCATAGCCGATGGTCCGAATACCTATCAGGAACTGACGATTTCGCAACAGTTCGAAGCATCGAACTTTGCACAGCAGATGTACTATCGCAGTCAGATGCAAGAGTACGAAGGAGTTGTCCAGACCCTGATGGACAAGATCAAGGAGATGCAACAAGAAGATGAAGGATCTGGAATTCGCATTGAAGAATTGGAACGACAACGTGACCATGCATGCTTAGCCATGAGGCACATCAACAATGTCAATCAGGAGATGAAGCGAGACTATGAAACAGCTTTGTTTCGCATGGATGAACAGAACTCTGCTCAACAACGTCAAGCACATGCCGTTGCCGAGGAGTTAGCTCAGCAGCTACACGTGTTCCGCACGGAAGCAGCCACTAACTTTGTGCAGTTGGAGGCAAGAGCGCAAGGCGATGGTGAGCTTATGGCACGTGAGTATGAGCGTCTGACTCATGAACTTCATGAACATGCCAGAGAGAACTTGTTCCTCCGGTCGAACACAGCAAGTTCGGAACAAGCCTTACAAGCAATGCAGGAACGATTCCACTTGGTCAAGAATCAGGAGTTGCGGGCCGTGAACGAGATCCAAGGGCTAGCTGGGAACAGCGCAGCCATTGATCAAGAACGACTTCGGCTTCGCGAACGTCTTGGTGAAGAGGAAGAGTACCGCAAAATGGCTGTGAGGAGGATGCAAGATGCAGAGGACCGACTTCATCAGAATGAAGATCATGCAAGGCGAGCATTGCCTACCTTGCACGACGAGCTGAGTGAACTCAGGAAAACACTCAAAGCACAAGAAGATCTTCAAGCGAGGACACGCAGCGAATTGGAGGCAGCGCGGAACTCCAACTACCATGGCGGACACGGCCTTCGAGCATGCCCATGTCTTCGAGGACTACTGAGTCTGGCTGGGAGCACGTAGGAAAGGAAGTAGTGCCTGCATTTTCCGTAGGAGGTGAGGTACGATCCCCTGAAATACGGTCCCCAAGTCAAGTTAGTCCAGTCGCCAAAGAGAAGTTCGCATTCTCGGAATCGGACAAGGACAAGAACCTTGTGATGGATGGAATTCCATTTACCGGTGGAAACTTCTTCACTGGCCGCAATTCAATGCCAATCGTGGCGGATGCAATGCCCGAGCACTACGTGCCAGGTATTAGCAGCCCAGCACTTGCGCGTTCCACGCCTAGTGCAGCCACTTTGTTCGGCATACCAAGCGGATTTCATGGGAAAAGTGATGCGGCAGCCGTGCGTGATCGACAGCTACGCGAACTCTTGGAGGATCGCGGGATGTTGGGATCGAAGTCCACAGCATCTGCCAGCTCCTCAAGACCTGTTGGTGTCGACGGCATCACCGCATCTACGAAGGGCAACGACCTCATTGGTCCCCCTGTTGCCTATGACGATTCCATCCATGAAGCAAGGAGACGTCAGATCGAGAAAGAGGTCGCGGAACGGTACGAAGAGAAGATTGCCGATCTGCGAAGCGAAGTACTCAAAGCCCAGAAAGCCGAACAGCGTCTCAGAGCTGATCGTGATGAGTGGAGATTATTCGCTGAAACGATTCAGGAAGATAACGGAGACGATGACGGTGACGAAGCTGGCGACGAGAACGAAGAGGGAGAGCATGATGAAGGAACCGGCACGGGGTATGACCCTCCAGATCCGCCTGATGATGACGATGATGATAAGAAGAGAGGCGGTGGAGGCAAACCTGAATCGGATCCTGGCTCTCATGCGCGTGATCCTGATGGAGACGCAGATCCTGAAGTCACGGAGGTAAGAATTTCCAGGAGGGAGGCCGACAAAGTGACCGTTCCTCCATGGCCTACTCTCACTCACCTCAACAACTGGCGATCCGTATGCACGGCGAATGTCTTAGGAGCATCAGCCGACCCAAATCATGAGGACTGGATGTTATGGCTGGCACCAGCGTTCAACCCATTCCCTGATGTCGAAGCACTGAACGATTCAGGACACAAGAAGTTCAAGAGCGTAGACGTCAAATTGGGGATCGCCATGGTCGCAATGCTACGCGCTGGTGGTGACAAATCTGCTGATCTGTACCTGGAGGTGAACCGGAAGGCCAACGATTACATCAGCAGGCCCGAAGGGAAGATCATCAAAGGACGACAAATCATTGCGATGATGTATGAAAGTTTTCGAACGCATGATCGTCTCGACATGATCATCACTCTCGAGTATCTGGTGAAGCTCCAGTACCAAGGCGACAACAAACTTCATACGTTCAAGCAGACGTGGTTGGAAGTTCTGGGACGGATGAGGCCAGAAGACATACCATCCAAAACAGCTCTCCGTGATTGCCTGTACAGCAAGATCAAGGACTCGCCCGCAATGAAGATGGAGTTGGGCATGCACTACGAACACTTGCCCTACAATCATGAAGACCGATCGTACGACAATCTGATGAAGATCATCGACCGTACCATCATGCGGAGACGAGAACAATCAAATCTCACTCAGACCCAAATTGGCTTGCGCCAGATGCTT